TCTATATTTTTTTTGAATGTTTGTTGTGCAAAAATCCTACTCGCAAAGAATTCTTTCTTTCGTTCAAATTCAGTAATTAATGCACTGCTGAAAGTAATTAGGAGATTCCTTTAAAAATCTTCGAAAATCACCATTTTATAGAGAAGTTAAGAAATTAAAATACTTAATATGTTTATACGAGGGCGTTCTGAATGTTTATATGCTAAAAAATATTCGAAATTTCAGATGTATATATATATATATATACACACATTCATTCGAAGAAGTATTCCGCTAATTGTTTTCAGCAGTGTATCAAGTTTCATACGCCTTTCAGATATCTAGGCTACTAAACTAACAGATGGTCGCTAGGATACGGCGCGGCATACAGCATCCCGCAAATAAATTACGCAATCATTATAACTAATAAAAGGCACTAACTGAGCGTATTCAATATAGCGCACACAGTTCAACACAAAATTTATTCCCTCTCCTTATCTTCTTTTTTCTCGTCCTCCTCTCTTCCCGTCTGACGAACATCGATGAACAGCAATCCGATATCGTCACCACGCCATAGGATGAATCGATATCTCAGAGCCTTTTACACATCCATGATGGAGAGGGAGAGGAGGTCCGATATTGAAGGTTGTGGGTACGAACCTTCGCCAGAATGAGCCCGAAAAATTTGAGTCACTGGTCCGACTTGGGCACGTCATGGGAACCGCGGTATCACGAGTTTTCTCCCTCCTCTTGATGGTTTAGCCTCCGCTTATTTGAGTTATCGACGTGTCGGTCCATCATCTTCATTTCCGCTTCATCTCTTTGTTTACTCTTTCTTCACGCTCCTAGTCGATAGTAATCGCTAAATAATATGTGAAATGATACTTACGAAAGCACATCACTCGTCCTGATGTTTTCTGCTGTTTTTTTTTTTAATAGAATATCATGAGCAGTGCACTCTCGTCAGGATTCGCATCTTATCTCCAGTAATTTATCTTTCACAGTACTACCGCTATTATTCCATGTAACGTCATCTTTTTCTAATTATTTGCATCTGCCGTACAGCTATTTAATCATCTGCTTTGCATCTTCTTCACGGCGACATGCTCTTTCAATTATCCGTCTTATGCCATTTTTTATAACACTCCTTATTTGTTTTGCAATTACTTACGATGTTACGCGCGGCTGTTATATTTGTTCCAAGTATCAATACTCTTGTGCCTTATACGTTCGTTACATGAATTAATCAACAGTACAGTTAGACGCATTGTGACCATGCCTCTGTTTACGATTCGCGTGTACGATCACAAGAGCCATTCGCGTCTCATTGTCGGGCAGAAATAAAAGATCCATGTCTCTCTCCCTCTTTCTCTTCTCATCTCTTTCTCGGCATCTACGTCTCCTTGTTCCATACCGAAGAGACAACATCGCACGGACTGTATAACCTTCGGGACCGTAAACCCGTTATATCATTATATTCAACAACAATAATCCGCGGTCCATATACTGAGCGCAAACATCGGGACAAACAGCCATGCAAACTGTTCCAGATCCCTTTTCAACATCGTCCTTTGTTAGAGGACGGTAATTTGGCCCTGTTGTTTGTCTCGGAGTGACACTCGCATCCAAAGCTCCGGAAGCTGACGGCCACGATGACTATCCGAAAATAAATTCCTCGAGCACCGCTAACGATATTTCATATAACAGCGATAACATCGATAGTGTGCGACTTGACCGAACACCGTGACGTACAAATTTATCCCGAATTTAATTGCAATTCGAACAATAAAATTTCGCGGAAAGAATGTCTTTACGATGTCGAGCGATCAAGTATCCCACGAGAAACCGCATTGCATGCGACGGACGCATCCGGATCTTCATGCATCTTTTGCCTTTACTTCACCTTTATTACACCTTAAACGTAACGGTAAATTGAAAAAAAATCAATTGTCCATATTCCATATGCAGGCTTTACATTAAAATCCTACGTGTCATTATATTACGTCTTCAAATCTCAGAAATGTACACATTATGTGTTTATCATTATTCTTTCTGTCGAGCTATCTTTCCGACCGAAATTTCCGTCGCCATGAATAATGTTTTTAGCTATTATTTATTTTTGCTGCACAATATTATCAATATTTTAATAAAATTAAAACGCCGCTGTCAAGTCGATTATTACGAAATTGCTGATCGAGAAATCCGCCGAAGAATGCCTGAAAGATAGAGAGCGAAGGAATGATCCGGGTAAGAAGGGTATCAGCACGAGAGAAAAATGACAAGATTGTATTGCGGTAACAATCATTTAATTGAACATAATCAAGTTTTCATAAATAATGCACATGTACAATGCATATGACTTTATACAAATTATGTTCCGTGATCAGCAGCAACGAGAATTCGAGGATCGAGTAGTGTGAGAATCGCATCAAGTATACAGCAAGTGTCCGCAAGCTCGACGACTAACACCGAGATCCGTGAGTCCCTGTTATTGCGAAAATTATCCGTCGATCCATCGAAAACTCGCACCTCAAAAAAACGATGTACACTCATCAGCTAAAAGGTTGCAATACTTTTTTTCGGTAAATTTCGGAATTCAATCTTTCTCGTAGAGTGATTGAATGTAAATGGTTAGACCAATAAATGAGAGAACCAATCGCTCGGTAAGCAGGTTGCATTCCGAAATTCATCGAAAAAAAAAGTGTTGCAACTTTTTAACTGATGGATATACATCTTCGATTTAATATTACAGGAAAAAAGAGACCCGTACATAGATCCTTTTATCGCAGGACCGTGAGGGAAGTGCAGTTAAAAGGCCATTGCACGTAAGAGCCGTAATCTCTACAGTCGTAAGACTGTAAAAAGCGATTAATTAATTGGCTACTGATCGGGACTAATTGTAAACATTGCCGCGTCTTCCATACGGAACCAACTCGAGTGAAACGTCGTAATCTCAAAACCGTGATCATAACTGTGTTCCAAAATTGACTGCCTGTACCGAAAATCTATGCACATAACATAAACTATAGCATTTTCAACGTAGCAGTAAATTTTGAATATAACCATAGTCGCAAGTTTTCATCTCGTCGAAAGATTATGATTAACGCCTTATCCTTATGATCAACCAACGGGAAGACAGTCACGTGACTTATCGCTTGCCTCATTGCCAATCAATTTATCGCAATTTTATAGTTTTACGTTTACGATTAAAACTTTTACGTGCAATGGCCTTAAATATCTCGTACAATATTTTACACACGGAGTGAGGTCGTAAGCTAAGAGAAAGAGAGAGAGAGATAAAAAGGAGATGAGAGAAGGAAGCTTAAATAAAAACGGCTATCTTACAAGGTACGCGGAGGAAGTACCGAGGGAAGATAAATAAAGTGGGAGTAGGACGTTGAAGGAGTGTAAAATAAAAGCAATATAAATAAAAGAAAACTAGAAGCTATTCATTAACGCTATATTCGAGTTTAGGTACATCTTGAGCGCGAGCAACACGCGCCCGACTGCGTCTTAACATTGAATTAATCATTTCCTTCGCTTTCTTTTCTACCCTATAGCGCTCACTGACATTGAATTATATCGAGAAATTGTATCTCGATGTAACGCAGCGTTATATTGAATATTATAGAATAAAAGAAAACGAAGAAAATTGCTAGTCTCGTATAACATTTCTATTTGAATATTTGAGGTGACGGAACCGAGGTTTTATTTTAAATTATCGGCTATAACCTAAGTAATATACATGGATACAATTTATTTTAAATAATAAAATTTCCAAATTCAGCTTATTTCGCGTCAAGCTTAATATTACAAATTTTATTAGTTAAAATATTCCTCGTAAGATACAGATGCCGCAATGAACTGAATTGATATCACTTGTTGGGTTATTTATATGTATTGTCCGCCCAAGATCCAAGAAACTGTTAACTATTCTTGTTCTTCGAACATAACGAACGTGTGATGAAAATCAGTATAATACAGTACAGCCGCTACAGTAACACAGTAATCAAATTAGTAAAATGAATTATTTTCAGATAAAAAAACTAACTGTCGTCAATGATTTGCCCATATTTCTAGTTCTCAAAAAAATTATCACATAACAGAAAAATAAAAAGAAAAAAAATATTAACTAAAAATTTTTTGAATTTTTCTGTTTGTCGACATATATAAATAAATATTTATATATATATATATATATGTGTATTTATACATGAAATTTTTCTTACATACATACATGTACAAATATTTGTGGATATATGTATAAGTAAAATTTCCTAGAAATTGTTCTTATACCGCGTATACGGAGTCTGGAGCGAAATCGCGTTTGCGAATAGAATGACGGCACTGAGAAGTCATGCATCGACGAAATCATCAAAGATATTTCCAGATAAGTCATACTCGAAGCTGATCAATATTGAAGACATTAATATTGCTTCATTATTGCACCTGTGCTTCAAGAATCACTTGTTCACCATTCAGGCATCAGGCTAATAGTTATCAATCGAGAATCATATTGTGATATGAATTATTAATAGAACTCGCCTATATCTTTAATACGTAACATATGCGTTAGTCCGTATCTGTAAATAGTCTGATTCAATTTTAACGCAATGCATTACTGGACCTTAAATTCCAAATATTATTGAACACCCAATAACAATAGAGAATAATGATTATCTTATTCTGTAATTGTTATTTCTGATCAAGATTCAATTGATATTCAGAGCTTGAATGGTCAAGCAGCTCGTCATTGCAATGCTATCAGACCATCTTTTTTAAAGCTACCACTTTTTTAAAAATACAAATTTTGCAATATTTATTTTAATTCCGATGATTAAAATTGTTCACTCAATCAATTGACCATCAATTAAAATTTCATCATAAGTACATAACGTACTTCAGTGTGTCATATGTTCCATGTTCAAATGTTCTTATTATGTATATTTATCTATTTTACTTAACTATTATAGATCTTCTACCTTATTAAATATGTTTGTATAATTGAAAAAAAAAACAATCTAATCCCTACCAATTCTTTTGTGAATCTGTTGGTGCTTAATAAGATGCGCCTTTTGCCTGAATGCTTTGTTACATACATCGCATCTGAATGGTTTTTCACCCGTATGCGTACGCAGGTGTACCTTAATATTGCTTTTATTTAGGAAACCTCTTTGACAGATATGACACCGATGTATTGGCTTATCCTTGCCACTCATTAAACTCGATTCCGTTCCGTATTGCACTCCCACAGCACCAGCGGTCGGACCTTTCTTTGAGGGCGAGCCCCCAGAACCTGGCGAGGATCGTGACCTCTTTCTGGGATGGGAGGGTGTGGCAAAAGACGAATGCAAAATATCCTCGGGACTGCAAGATGTAGATACCCGATTAGGCGGACTAAGCGGTGGAAATGGGCTAGTTGACGAGGGGGTTTCACCACACGAAGCGTTCTGTAAATTTGTGGGATTTCCAGATTGTTGCAATCTTGCCTGGAGTAAGGGCGCATAGTCAAGCTTAGTGGGGTTTTGCGTGAGCAAATTTTGCAACGCCGAACCAGCATGTTGCTGAGTTTGCGTTGTCGGAGTCGTTGTCACATAAATTTGATGCGCGAACGTACTAGGCGAAGTTGTTTCTTGGGTCTTAGGTGAACAATCCGTAATCCAGTCGGCGATGTCTATCCAATCCCTTGAAGCGTCTGTATCCTGCTCGGAACTGGGTCCATTTCCATTCCCTGGAACCGTTGTATCGGCTATCGCAGATCCAATGATCTGCGCTATATCATCCATGTCTTCGTAAATTATTTGTTGCGTCGACTGTGGCAATTGCTGCTGTTGTTGCTGATTGTGAGGATGATGATGCTGCGGCTGTTGATGATTCTGCTGTTGTTGCTGCTGCTGCTGTTGCTGTTGTGACTGTTTCTGACTCGCCTGTGGACATGGAGTACTAGAAGACACTACAGGCGACTCAAAAAATTCCTGATTAGAGGATGGTGTGGGGGAGGCAGACGGCACATCAATCGACGATCTTTGGCCAGACGAGGCTATTGTGTGATAGTGATGCCCAGGAATGCCATTGATTTGAAGGTGTCCCGTATAATTGGTAAAAGGTGGAAGCGGGAGCAGCTTCACGTCCGGCAATGACTGTTCGGAGACTGTCGTAGCTAGGATCGAATCCCAATTGTCTTGAAATCCAACGGCCGTTTGTTTTGCGTCTGGGACTCCTCCCTCCAGGAACTCTGGTCCATTTGTCCATGGTAACAGCAAACTATCAATCTCAGCTGGCGAATTACCTACCACAATCCCAGAACCTTGGCTACTATGAGGCGGCTCAACGCCAGATGAAGTCAGATGCGGCGGTGCCGCCGGTGGCCCTGACTGTGTCTCGTATTTCATCTCCGTTACGATGTCCGATGTTGGCGAAATGGTGTCTAAATAATGCGGCAGAGCCGCGTGCTTCACCAGCGATGGATCGCTGGTGCTTCTTCCCGCGCAGAAGGATTGCTGTTTAAAATTGCTGCGATTACGATCAGCAATGGTACCAGCTACGTTTGTATCTATCGCGGATTGTTCCTTTATCGTTGGACCCGGTTCCAAGAAGAAATTCACGTTGTTAGCCCTATAACGTGGTACCACCGGCGATTCTTGCAGCGGTTGCTGCAACTTACGTTGTTCTTCTATCACTGCCGTCTTCAGGGAGTGCTCTTTCAAGAAACGGTTCCTGTCCACGCAGGCGTTGTTATCGCTGATACCTACGTTGGCGTTCAGCAGGACTGAAATAGGAATTCTATTCAATGTATTTGTCGTGACCGGAATGAATCGGGATGACGAGGATGGTCCACCACACGACTGCTGTCGCTCTTCAGGACTTACGCCGTTAAACTCCGTCTTGTTCCTTGAAAAGTTTAAGGAACTGTACGTTAACGGTAACTGCTCATACGGCACGTTAGAGGCGGTCGATGCCGCGTTGGTAGCGGTGATGCTACGCGTATTATTCGTCGACGTGGGCGACGTCGTGAATGTCGTTATGAACGGCCTGGAGATACAAACTTTGCGCTTTTCGGGACACGCGTAGCCAGGTAGCTGTGGCTGCGCGTTGTTTGTCTGCGTCAACGACGGCGTTAATACAGTATGTTCCGGCGAAATATTTCTGAGAGATTCTGGTGACGATGGAAGATTGTGGTAGCTGGATGAATTTGGGACGTTGGTACCGTACACGTTTGTGGTGTTATTCAACGACTGGCACCCGGAATTGTACAACGAATTTTGATAACCCTGAAAGTTACCGTCGTGATTGGATGGTTGTTGGCATGCGACTTGAAATGGAGGCCCAACCTGATAGTTACTGTTGTTATACTGCGATACCTGCTGGTGCTCGGACAATTCCGGAGTCGGAGGAAACGACAGATGGAAATTCTTTTTACTGTCGAGACTGTTGCTACCACCAGCGAAGCTGTGGCACCCTGGAACACAGGAAGGATATCGATTGATATTAGCAGATTATAAAGGTAACTCGAATAGGAATAGGCATATTGTGAAAAAATGTATTTTGTAAAAAAAACTGTAAAAAAAAACAAACATTCACATTACATCTCCATTTGTGATTCATATATTTAAAATGTTTAAGTATCTTCATTTTTATATATGTTTATTTCCTTGAGAATTCAATATTATTTTATTTTACATGCTTTATATAGATCAAATTATATTATATATATTTTTTATAAAAGAGAATATATGATAATAAATATTGCACACACACACACACACACACACACACACACACACACACACACACACACACACACACACACACAAACACACACACACACACACACACA